TAAACTTGGCGTGCCCGCATTTTATATACATCTTATCAATTAAATATTAATGCAATCCGGGCACGCCAAGTTTTTGTTTCACTGTGATCCCATTGGTCATTTTAGTCACTTCAAGCCTGTTTTATGAAACTTAAAAAATATTTTGGAAAGACAATGGCATTAAATTTTTGCTGCATGTGTATTTGGATGGTTAAATGGTTTATTAAAAAAATATTTTTGTTTCTATGTCTAATTAAATACTTGACAACTTGTATGATCTCATATTTATTTTTGGACAATTTTTATTTGTTAAAATAATATTTTTGGTTTAGTATTAATATCTCGAAAACTATTGCAAAAATTGCAAAATGATAGAAGACTTTCTTGTTCAGTTTGGTCCACACTACCTGCCCACAGGGCTGTACCATTGAGTACGAGACACCTTGCATATAAAATATGTTTCTTTATATTTTTTTTAAATACAATTGTGATATTTTCTTACCTTAATATTTGGTTCTTGACTTTGAAGAAATTGGAATAAAGGAGATAGTTCTTTCCAAATGGCGGCTGGAGCAAGGCAGAATCCCAATTCTATTTTTGCATTGTATTCGGGCCTCATGGATAATAAAACGAATAACATGGTAGTTCCCATCGAATAACCAATGTAGCGTAGGCTTTTTTGTTTTGTGTAATTAAGTACATAGTCAATCATAGCTGGTAGGTCTTTCGTTCCCATCTCATGATAGCTAGACAATGTAAGTATATTTTATTTCTTTTATCAGCTTTTCAGTGCTAAAAAACATTAAATAAATAATTGTTACAAAGAGTGATGGTAAATTTCGCCCATTTTTTGGACCTCAAATTTCAAACTTTTTTATAGCAAATAGTACTATTATATAGTTGAAACATTAATCCCAGTAAAATTTCAAGATAACCATAGGGACGGTTCCGGAGATACAAGGGGATGATTACATTCCCTATTAATCTTTGACCATGTCTTTGAAGCAATTCAATTACCAAGAAAATACTCAAATTGAAAGATATTTTTTCATATCTTGATTCGTTCGTTATTGAAGAATTAATGATCGTTGATTCTTCAATAAAGCAATGCTCTTCACTAAATGTTTAGGTTGTAATGATTAAAAAAGATCGAAAAATGATAAGTTTTCTTCTATCGAAGACATATCGAATTTGTTGTTAATGGTTAACAATTTGCGGAAAAATAATCTGAAGAAACGGAAATTACAAGAATTGAATCACATTCCATCACAGAGCAAAATATGCAAAAACTGTTATCAATTTAGTAATCGATCAAAAATTATCTTAAAATCACAGGTAGATGATGATCCAGATTCACCTGATCTCTCGATTTATCGTCAAGGTATTAATTCTCATTCGCGATGCACTTTGGGTTGCAAAAACCCCTCGAAGTTGATTCTTAATATGCAATGTATCTATCACGATTCACAAAACAACCCTGCATAGTGAGAGGCAAGGGGACTCACAGCAGAAAAGCACCCCAATCTGTGAGAGGCAAGGGGACTACAGTAGAAAAGCACCCCAATCTATGAGAGGCAAGGGGACTTATATTAAAAAAAAGTACCCCAATCTGTAAGAGGCAAGGAGATTCACAGTAGAAAATCATCCCCATCCGTGACATCCGTGAGAGGCGGCGTCAAGTCACTTCAACTCCATCTATCTTAGGGAATTTTCATGCTAGACGAAAACTAAGGTCATTAAAAAAAATGCATAAGAAACGATATGTTTCATTTCGTTAAATATATATTTTATTTCTTGGTATTATTTCTTGGACACTATAACCAGTAGGTCCACTCAGCGAAAAACTAAGTCTTCGCGCAGGTATCGCCGCGCAACTTTTGTTTTGGGTTGGATCCAATGAAATGCAAGATGATAGGAACGTACATACATATGTGCAGACAATTTATAAGCAATTACAAAAATTTTCTTTAGTGATCACTCCTACGAATAATTGTTATTAATAAAACGTTTTATTTGATTCACACATTTAATTTATTGATTTACTGTATCGAATCTATATTATTACTTATCTGTTTTATCACTTGTGAGACACTTTTCTCAGTTCGGTCCTGGATTTAACATGGTGGATGCTCACGTGATCCGAAAAAGGAGATCAAAAGTGCCAACACGAAGTGAACCTACTGGTTATACTGTGGTATGGACACTTGAAGAATTTCGTGTACTTTCATGGGTTATAAGAAACCATCACTTTCACCTCTTCATATCTCCGAAACTGTGCTATGCTTATCTTAAAATTTCTCTAGGATTAATGTTACATCATATAGTACTATTTGACATAATAAAAGTTTGAAATTTGAGATGCAAAAATGGGTAAAAAACAAATCTTTTTGCCATCACTTTTTTTTAAAGCACTGCTGGAAGGTCGAAATTACCGACACATTACAGTTTAGTAAATTTCTCCGAATTGATTGAACGGAATTGAAAATCCTTTCAGAAGATTAAAATAAACATAAAATTGTAATGTGAGACAGATGAATTTATAGTAAAATCGGAAAAAATTAAAAAATTACATTTTTTTCGGGTCGTACAGCTGACACCTGACATAAACATTAGTGTAAAAATTCTGTAGCTCATATGTACAAAATGCTTACGTCTCACATAGAACTACATGAACGAATAATACAAAACCTTTTGAGCTACTGGCGCTTTAAATCCCGCGGTTTAAAGGTCAGGTTTAAAGGTCCGGCGCGATCAAGTAGCGCTTGATCCCGGGGAAGTCTCGCACTCCATCGGATATCGTGTCGGGCTGGCCGGCACGATCAGGAATCGATCTCGAGAGTTATTTCGTCGGCCTTTTATACCCACGGCGATGGTCACTCGGCTATCGATGGTCATTGTACGTGCTCGGATATTTTCGGTATAAAAATTGTAATTGTTCGTTAACAAAGTACTCGAGTAATAATTTTACCGACCGCTCTTTGGCTAGCGCGCCAGCATCGGTAGCCTCAGAAGGGCTTGGCCGCGCTCGGCCGTCTCCGGTCCGCGGGCATTCCTTATGTGAGATCATCTAGGTACGCTCGCGCCTATTCCGAGATGACCTGTTTAAAAAGGGGTGGACATACCGTGCCTTTCCATACCATCGCCCTGGTACTTTCCGTACCATCGCCTGACACATGATCGGTCGGGCGGCATCCGGCGGATATTCGGCCGGGAACGATGCATAACGGGGTGAATCGGGGTGCAAAGTAAGAATAAGGAGACGTAACTAGGTAGGCTAGAGGGAAAAAAGTTGAGCATGAAAAATGTTCTGTGTACTGCCAGGTTCACTGAACGGAATAACTTGCATCATTTCGTCGCCATATTGAAATTCATATACGTACATGTGTCACATCTAATTGTGTTAGTGTATCAAGTGTAGAAGTAACTCACTTCATAATATTTAGATTATTCAAAGAAACTACATCTTCGTAATCAGGATCCAGAGTTTCGATGACTACGTCGTCTCTCGCATCGAGCATTCTCGTTTTTGATAACGTGTACGATAGCCTCGTAGATACCATTCTCTTCACCAATCACAGCTGTTGCAATCAGACGTTTCGCCTTCTGTACGAAATCATCCCGTCTTCCCATCTTAATCCATGGTGATAAGCAATCCCTGCCGCGAATTCCCATAGGTATATTCCTATGGGTCATGTCCCATGGGAAATTGACCCAGGTGCCCTATGAGTAACCTATATGGGACTTATATGGGACCTTCATTTCAAGTAGAAAATAAACTAGAAATTAGCCAGTAACTGGCCAGTAATTGGCTAATTGCATTGGCTAGATACTGATCAGTTTAAGCGACGCTTGTTTGGGCAATAACTGGACAGCAAATTTAGTCAGTTTCTAGCTAATTATTGGTCAGTTTTTAACTAAATTTTCCAAAATATTTTTTGAAAAAAATTTTAAAAATAATTAAAATAAGAACTTTTTTTCACTTATTATTTTTCAACAAGTATTTATGAACTTCAAATAACTTTTATCAAACACTCATAATTTTTAAATACATTTTTATTATAATTTTTTTCAAGTTGCAATGGTGGGTTTTGAACCTGGATCGCCGGATTATGAGTCTCGCATCTGTTCCGTCATACCACTTCGAAGTATCGATGTACAATGCTTTTTATTGCCTATATAAGGTATAATCAACGCAATTATTGCATTACTTTTATAAATTATTTTTTATTAATTAAATCTATTAATTATTTCTTAATTTTTTTATTTTTAATTGTAATTAATAGTAAAAAACATAAATAAATACAAATAAAAAAATAATGTAAAAAATGTAAATATTTATATTCTTCATAAAATAATACATATATACATATTCAGAATGCAATAGAAATCAAAATATCATTATAAAAATTATTAAACCACTCAATGTTTGTAACAAATTATATTATTGACCGGTATTTATTCAGTGCTCAAATAATTCATCCCATTCCATAGTATACTCACACCATATTCATACCCATCTCATACCGATGCAGAATTCATACTGTTCTATATGAGTCCTATGTATTATATTATTCTTGCCCTATGTGTGTTACCTATATGTATACATTTTTATATGGAACTGTTACGGTCCCATATGGGACTATTACGATCTTACGTAGAACCTTCATGGTCCTTGACAGGACCCTTATGGTCCTTCATGGAACCTTCATGGTCTTTCACTGGACCTTCATGATCCCATATGGAATACCTATGGGAATTTACGGCAGGAATCAACCAGGAAGCGCCAGACTTGTCGAATTTTGTTAAAGAATTCCATGATATGGAACTCGCAAAAATGTAATGCGACAGAACTGTACCTCTTTTCAGGACCGCCACTTCTTTTACGATAAATCTCTTGCCAACGGTGAATCCTTGCACAAATCCTCTACAAACGTTAATAAAATCATGACGAGTAATCCGTCGAAACTGTGTTCCACTCGCGAAATGTCGCAGTTTTTATCTCTCTTATATCAGCAAAGATGAGAATATTTGCAGACATGGTAATTTATGTGAATTTGCGCATAACGTTGGATAATGGGCAATATTCAATCACGTGATTGTGTAAGATGAGACAATAGGCTGTAGTATTCACCGGCACATTTTCTTTACAGTCAAATTCGAAACGTACATCCATGGTAGCGCTTTTGATGGACTCGTTTTGTCGCGTGCAGTCAATGACTACGAAAGGTCCATTCTCCAAAAATAAGCCTACGGTTAACAGCGTTTTGTCGTTTGTGTATCCGTAATATGTTTTACAAAAACGAGCGTACATATCAAACAGGATGGCGTATCTGTTTTTACCAAAGTCTAAATTTAAGTCGTCGTACGGATAAAATTCCGAATTTAAATAAAATTTTACATTGGTTAATATATATTCATCGAATAAAGAAGCGTCTTTAGATATGATGTTCTTTCGACCAGTCTGCAAAGCAAAGATAACGTATCGTGGTTTTTCTAATTGCGTTGCAGTCTTCACAGCCCATGAATGCTTGGTCGTGCCCTGCAATAACAGGTACTCGTACAGATCCCACGAGCGAAAACCCATGCTCAGATATCGGCCGCTTTTCAAAGCTCGTAACATGGACAGTTTATTGACCTCGTTTAACATTACGTGAGGCATTTGCCATTGCACCTTATGTATTTCGACTTCGGGCTCAGTCGTGGCATCTTCCACAAGACAATTGTTATCGTTGCGCGCTCGTATTAAAATCAATTCATGCCGAGCGTTAACAACCACACGTTTGTAATCCTCACAAAAGCTCAGCAACATGTTGAGCGACACGCAAAAGTTGAAGTATCCTTTAGATATGTGCGGTTTTAAGGCCTATCCTGCATTATGCAAAATTAAAGCTTTGTCATACGTTAGCGATAAATATTTTTTAAGAGTAGTGGTTATTCCAACGTTTCTGTTGCGATCAATTTCCACACCGTTGAGTTCGTATCCAATTTCATCAAACATGAACGTCACGCAATTATTTGCAAGTGTTGTCACCAATTTATCATTCTTTTTCTTTATCACCAATTTTCTTTTGACGAAGAGAAGACTTTTGCATGGTAATGTGTATAAATCCTGGTATTGTATGGGTATTCGTATTTCATCGTTGTGTCCAAACGTAGCATTGGCATACGGATTGTACGTATAAGTCTAAATTTTGATGATGCTGTCATCAAAGATTGATTCACTTCCAATGTTTAGGATATTAGCCATCTCAGACACTATGTACGGTAATACCAATATTGGAAGCAATGAGTTTCTTCTTGATAGGTCGAATGCTTTTCACTGTTGACTCTCCGGTAAAAATTGTGTCTCTTGTACGTTTTACTTGTTCATTCAGCACGAGCATCTCACGTTATCGCTGTCGTCTCCGTACGTGCAGTCTTACAGTGATTTCTTCTCCACGAAAATCGAACAATCGACCGTCTTGATCCACAACGCGAATGGTCAGATCCGATATGCTCCGTGCGATGATCGGAAGATAAATGATCTATGCAGGCGTTTCCGATATCTTATATCCTGGCGGCACGCTCGGCG